ATTGTATTCAAGGAGGATCGGTAACATTTTGAAGGCTTTAGGAAAAGGTACTCTATGGTATAAGTCATGTATAAAACAATATTCTGGCTGCTGTGTAGACAATGGATTGCAGGAAAGTAAAAGTGTAAACACAGGAATGATGATTTAGATAAACATTACATTTGTCTAGATAAAATGCCAGCAGCTTCAACTATGATAATAGCAATGAAAGCAGTGAAATTCAGATGGAATGTGAAGATAGAGTTGACAGAATTTGCTTGTGGGTTAGATGTGAGTGTATGAGACTTTAGGAGAAGTAGTTTGGGGAGACGCCAGTCAAGAGTTTTGTACTGTCCATGCTATAAATGATATGCCTATGAAACTGTATATCAGGGCTGAAGAGAAACATACATGACTCATTATTTTGTCGGTTAATAGACTGACACATTATTATTTGTATTTATCAAGCACTGAGCTCGTGATAGTTGGGTATCATATCTACAAATAACTGGATTGTGTAAACCCCTCATGACCTATGGCACTCAGTTTTGGTGCACAGAGTAGGAAAAAAAGTTGACGTGCAAGAAATTTCAGACGTATCCAATTTTAACTGTTTGTGTGTATTAATGTGAAAAAGTTATACTGGCTATGTTATATGATAGGGCAATCTCTATTAAAAACTAGTACACACTATACAAAAAAAAAAGCAAAATTCAAGAATCCAAAACATGGACTGGTTTGGAACACAGGAAAGCATGGTTGGAAATCCCTGGCTATTATTCTGAAGCAAGTAAGGAAGACACAATATAGAAATATATAAATGGTTCTTAGCAAACAGGCTGGAATGCCTGCAGTCATAGAGAGCAGAAGTTAGTAACTTAAGAAGGGAAAAAGATATCCTCAAGTTTAGGTAGCTTAGTACCAATCCAATAACATTGTCTAATAGTTTTTTATTTTGTTCAAAATGTCAGTGAATGTCAGAAAAGGGGATATATTAATTAGCATGTATATGATTGTAAGTCATAAACTATAATTCAAATAGTTTTTTAAAACTAAGAGCTAAGTTGAGTCATACAAACAAGATGTTGACTTTGACGTTAGCCATAGGTCCTTTAAGGAGTGAAAATGACATAGTCAGATAGACCGTGTCCCTCAACAGTGCCTCCTGCTCACTGAAGCCCTCCAAACATCTTGGTAAACTGGTCACCAGAAACTACAGCTTGATGCTCACTACTTTAAGGACATTTACAGAAAGGGTGCCTCTTTGTTTTTTGACACTAAGGTAGCACTCTGATTCGCCACGCTGAGAACACTTGCTGTGCTATACTAGTCTCTGCACTCCATGATGCGTATCCTATTCTCATTGCCAACGGCTTTTCCATATTTACCTCTGTTTTCAGAGGATTTTATCAGACTTAATAAACGCAGCATGGACTGAGACTGGGAGACTTCGTTCTTTCAAAAAAAAAGATGTATTATTTATTTATTTATTTATTTATTTTAGAGGTCACTGATGTTTATTTTGCAAACAAAACCACTGCCTGTTGACACCTCGGGATGCCACTGGGACACTTGGTGGGAAGCTTGAGAGAAGGGCGAGGAGTTGGGCTGTCACAGGATCACAAAGCTGGGGTTTCCAACAGGCGTCCAGATGGTCTGGCTTGGCTG